GGAATTACATGCTTCTACACAACAAAAGCATGTACCTTTTCATGTTTTGCTTATTGCCTTACTCTCATGTGTAAGTGGTGGATGGGGCCTTTGTCAGTAGCTTGGAAGTTTATTTCTGGCACCAGGTTTCCAGCATGAAATCAGCTGGGGGGCTCCCTCAGGTCAGCTTTTAGAGCTGCAGGTCTGTATGCATAGCTTATAGTAGGTCCAGCCGAATAACAGGGATAGGGATGTTGCAGCAGCCATCTCTAGTGACCCAGGTTCTGGGCAGGTGGACAGGGACAAAATCTATCCATACTCCATGTGGCTGACGTTCAGAGTCATCAAATACACAATGCTTTGCCTAAGACAGAAGTGCCTAACAGTGCTGCTGTAGCTACACTGTTTCTGAACTGCAGTATCTAGGCCAGATCAGAGCATAGACAGATATTCTTCGGTAAGTCTTGCTGAGAACTTGATGACGCAGCTTCTGGAGTGGTATTGGCTCTCACTTAATCGTTTTGGAGTGTGAAGAGAATGACATCAAGCCTTTGCATATAGAACTATATATGCATGCGCCCCTTGAGACAGGGTTTAATAAGCAATCTTTTAAAAGACTTGTTTGCGTATATAGGATGAGTGTATTTTAAATGTTTTTCCTTTGTCTGAACTTCTGAAAATAATTCTCCATCCCTCTTTTAGAAGAGACTTATACTGTATCTGTCTCCTGTTAGTAGGCTGCGCAATCTCCAGCCAGTGTAGTGCTGAACTTCACTTTGATAACTTTTACGCACTTATGCACCACTCTATTTTCTTTTCCCGTGTGTCCCAGCCAGGCACAGTGGTGGGACCTCTTATCACCAGGAGGAGGTCAAGAATCTCAGTTAGAGTGGTGGCATAAATATCTTGATGGCATGGTTGTTGGGGTCTTCTGACTGCTCCTCTGTGTCTTTGACTCCCCTCATGGGCATTACACGGTCAGAGGGAGACCTTGGTACACGTATAAACTTGAGGCCATGTGGCTGAAGCTTCCTTTCTTACCCATAAAGTAAAGGGAGCTCCTCATCAGCCTCTTACCGAAACTAGCTATGCTGACCATCCACAGCTCCCGGAGGAGGAAGTTTGACAGAAGGAGTTCTGGCAAGTGTGGGGTCTGTTTCTGTTCCTTAGTTGTCTTAAATCTCTGGTCAGTGTCGACCAGCTTTCTGGGATCTTTCTTGAAGCGGTGGGCACTAAGTGGAGCACTCTGTTACCTCCAGTTTCCTATTGCAGCATTTTTGACCCCCTTTCGCATACACACTTTTGTTCTGTTTTTTAATTATACTCTCTAATTGTTGAGTTTCCTATGTTTTGTTGTAGTCCTTCCTCCCCTTTTGGGGAAGCTTTCTTTCCTCTAAAAGAGAACTCATGGCCACTGTTCTATTGTTTATTTCCTCTGCATTCCCCTGCTCTAAATTAAGACTTTTCTTTACCAAAATTAAGAGTTCTTGTTTCTCCCAGCATTGCTTTCTTGCAATTTGCAAATAGTAGGGCAGTTTCTTTCTAACAAATTGAGATTTCTGCCATGTTTATTTCCTCTTTTCTGCTACTTAGATATTTGAAAAGGATTTAAAGGCAATTTTAAAATATAATTCGGGTACTTTGCTTTGGCAATGTATTGAACTAGTTGAGAGTTAAATTCGTTTCCATATCCTTTTACAGACTCTTCAAGATCAGTGCCAGAAGATGGAAGTGGATCTAACCTCCCTGAGAGATGTGCTAGATGCAGAAAGACGAGAGTCTCAGGATATCAGAGAGAAGATGGAGCTGGAACTAGCTGAGAGGAAGCTATCCTCCCATCGCTTGCAGGAGGAGGTGCAGTGTCTCTCAGAACAACTGGAAGAGGCAAGAAGAGCACAAGCTGAATTAGAGGTGAAGTATAAAGACCTGGAGCAGGAACAAAGGCTGGAGGTGGAAGAGAAAAACCTGCAGATCAGTTGTCTTAAGGTGGCTGAGCAAGAGCTGCAGTTTGGCCATGTTGCCCTTGTAGCTGAAAATGATCAGCTGAAACAGGATGTTGACCGGCTGTTGGAGTTGTCTGCTGAAAACAGTGCTACAATACAGAAACTACAGGGTGAGCAAGCACAGCAGTTTGGAGAAGCGGGTTCTTAAGAGCTTAAGGATCATTTGTTTGCTTTCTGATTGGCTTTGTTTTTGTAATAGCTCGTAAGAAAGTCTTGGTATAACAATTCCTAATTGCATAGGAATGTAGGAGTGATTGTACTGTATCAAACTAAAGGTCTCTCTGGTGCGATCCCACCTTTCTGTCTTTGGCAGTGACCAAAGCCAGTTGCAAGAGGAGAAGCATAACAGTAGGGCAGCATATGTGGTGCTTTCCTTGTGTACTGTCCCATCCTATAATCTTTTGAGGCTTATGGATTTCTTGAGGCAGATATATTTTTTTGGATTAATTTTAATAACTTGTTTTTTCGTTCAACTTATGTAAGTTCTTCCAACTGATGTAAGTTCTTTTTAGATGTGCCACATTCTTCAGAGTCTGAATTTCTACTGAAATTATAAGTAAAGCAACAAAGGAAAGCAAACTGTACCATTTTCTCTATAGGCTTGTATTGGAACTAATAACATTGATCTTGCCTCAAGCTATTATTTCAAGTTGATTTTCCTCCAGCTCCTTTACAGCCCAAAACTGAAGCAGTGACTGAGAGATAAGGGATCTCGTATACTATTGTGCTTATGTGGAAACTGGATATATTTCAGCAAAAAATGCAAGAACACACCTTAACTCCCTCTTTGTCCTTCTGTTAGATGAACTTGTACAGAAATCTGAAGAATTTATGTGCTGTCAGAATGATGTGAAATCCCAGTCAGTAGTGCAGGTCTCTGAATTGAAGAAAAAGGTATGATCTTTTCATATGAGTCTACGGAAGTTTTCCCATATGTTGAGGAACTGAAACCAAATTAAATGTTTGGAATTCCTTTTTCATGATGTATTGTTTGAGAAGGGCTTTTACAGGTTCTCTCAGCTGATGGGCAGACATGTAAAACCTGGGAAGAAACAGCAGTCAATGTGAATAATTTAAAAGCTGCCAACTGATTTGTTAAAAGGTTAAGTGAAAGATCAAAGACTAATGTGTATGTATAAACTGTATTGAAATTTGTCTTTCTCCCCTCCATTCTATGTTTAAAAAGGGTGAAACAACTTCACAGGAAAAAATAATAGATCGGGAAGATCAGAATGGGACTTCACTCTTACCCACAGAAAACTTGAAAAGACAGAGGAGTGAAGGTGGTGTGATTATCTTACCTGTTTTAATATTCTTAAAATATTCAATAATTATTCTTGCTTTTTAGATAATAAACATGCCCATGGTTACTGGTTCATTATGCTTTTGTTGCCAAGATCTTCAAAAATACCATGTAATTCTTTCCAGTGGTTAAAGTAGAATTTAATTGTGCAGGGAACAGGAACTGTTTCAGTGTCAGACAATGAACAGACTGACACAAACAAATAACTAAACCATCTGGAATTATTACAAGATTGGGCTTTGCATCATAGGCCTGCTTGCATGGTGTTGTCTTGTGATACAAAGTGATGGTTGGTGTTTTGACCGTGAAACAGTGTGGGTAGAACTTGTTACCTGCATGTGCTTCATGTTCCTGCATGTATGATCTATGGTGATAGGTGCAAAGAACATGGAGAAGACATGAAAAAGCTAGGATGAAGGCAAGGATGGTCATATTAAGTGACTGCAGGCTTTTCCAGAAAAGGACACCAAGGTTAGCTTCATTATGATAGGGCATATTAAGTTCAATGAATAATTTTGGTTTATTGGGTTTTTTGTTCCATTAATGTCAGTTATGCCTAAGGATGGTAGAATTAATTTTGTATTCAAAAACACTGTGCACTCGCATATTCTTAAATGGCACAAAATAAGATATAACTGAAGTAGGAGCTCCTCCCTGATACAAAAACTGACAATCTGTAGGTGGTGCTTCTAGGGGAGGGATATTTTTTGATAGCTTTTGCCAAAACAGTAAGGGGTCCATATATGTGCCATATTTAAAAAAAAATAAATAAAAGATAGGCAATTAATTTAGTTTGAGTGTCTAGGCATGTAGACTGGTAGCAGTAATATCACCACTGTCAGAATTACAATATAAAAAGATGGGTTTTCACAGATTTTGACTTTAGTGTATGGTGCGCTGTGGCAATAGGCTGTCTTGATTTTTGCAGAAATAGATTCCTTTTGCTTCCTATCATTCAGAGGTATACCCTCATCATAGGAATCCTGATGGGGGAATAATCACCAATAAATCAAATTTTTGCAGTCCTAGAACATCTCCCTTCTCTCTTTTTATTCCATGAATTCAGAAATGCAGGTCTTTAATGGACTTCAAGACATCATTTAGAATCATAGAATGGTGTGGGTTGGAAGGCCCTGTCAGCCTTTCCTCACAGCAGAGGTGCTGCAGTCGCTTAATCATCTTCCTGGCTCTTTGTTGGACTCTCTCCAGTATGTCCCTGTCTTTCCTGCACTCAGGAGCCACTGGACACGGTACTCCAGATGTGGCCTCACCAGTGCTGAGTAGAGGCAAAGGAACACTTTGCTGAATGCAGCCCAGGATATGATTAGCCTTTGTTGTGACAAGGGCACATTGCTGGCTCCCAGTCAGCTTGGTGTCAGCCAGGACCCCCATGGCCTTTTCTGCAAAGCTGCTTTCTAGCTGGGTGGTCCCCAGCATAAACTGGTGCTGTGGGGTTGTTCCTCCCCAGGTAGAGGACTTTGCACTTCTTGTTGTTGAACTTCATGAGGTTCCTGTCAGCCCATTTCTCCAGCCTGTCCAGGCCCCTCTGGATGGCAGCACAACCCTCTGTTGTATCAGCAGCTTCTCACAGTTCTGTGCCATCTGCAAGCTTGCTGAGGGTGGACCTGCCCCATCATCCAGATCATTAATGTAGATGTTGAACAGGATCAGACCAAGTATTGACCTCTGGGGTAAACTGCTAAGTTACTGACCCAGACTAGACTTCATGCTGCTCACTGATCACCACCCTGTTGGCTGGCTGTTCAGCCAGTGTTCAATCCACCTCACTGTCTGCTCACCCAGCCCATGCATCAACCAGTTCTCTATAAGGCTCTTACGGGAGACAGTGCCAAAAGCCTTACTGAAGGCCCTCATGATATCCACTACTCTCCCTTCATCTACCAGGCCAGTTGTTTCATCATATTCAGTGACATACCTATGGTAAATGGTGTTTATATGCCAGTTTACAGAAATACAAGTGTAAAAATATCCTGAGTCAAACAGCAGCTGAGTTCTTGTACCGATTTGGACTTGGACTGTCACTTTTATGGGTTTTATTCTTCTCTAATTTTAACAATTTCTTATTTCATTTTTATCTGAACGAAATTTGAAACATTTTGCTGCAATAGTTCTTTCTTTCCCCTTCTTTGTAAAAATGTTTTTTAAAACTTGAAACTCTATCAGCTGTCCTTTGATTTTAGTATATATAACACTTTTTTATATATATAAAATGTGCTTAAACAGCATGTTGTTTTGGTTGTTTGCTTCTAAAAGAACCAAAACACACTATCCAATTACAATGTTTTGTATCTCTACTACTGTTACTAACAGCCATGTGCCCTGTTCGCTAAAGCTCTGGGAGGAATATCCTGTTACTTTCCAAATCAGAGTTTTAGTTTTCAAATAAATTGTTTGTGTTTGAGGAAGCTGTGATGGTCACAGAAAATGAGAAGCAGGTAAGGATTAAGCAGCTGATATAAGCTGAAACTAAAATAGGTCAGGGACTGGCCTTAAAACAGCTAAGCTGTTACAGCCTTTTTTTACTATCCTCTTTGGAAGGTCATTATTAACTGGATTAATGATGAAAGACAGAAATAGCTTCCAGATACTGCCTGTACTGTGTTCTTATCAGACTGTATTTCCCTTTGCTGGCTGTGTGGAATTCTTGTGTCCTTCATCCACCCAATCCATTTTCATGCTATTTTCTGCCCCTTGTGAGTTAGTTCTTCAGCAAAACCATAGGCAAAACTGAGACAAGTCTCAGGAAATACAGTTCCAAAGGCTCAGTTGTCAGGATGCCTTTCAAACCAACCCTATCCGTTCCCACTGCCCTGATGGTTATCTGGCAGACTGACTGGAGGAAGCTGAGTTCTGTTTGTTAAGTGGGAGACAAGTAGACTTTATCCGTGTACTCGTCCACTGTGAACAGCTGCAGGTACAATTGCAGTCAAGTCTATTTGTGAGAAAAGTGCAGGATTAGATACCTGCTGCTTTGCTTTATACCCAGTCAGCAAGGTGATGGAGATGACCGCCTCTATATATCTGTACTAAGAATTTGTTGCAGAATTGTTTTGTTAGCTTAGAGCAAGGTCTGGGCTCTTTCCAGACTGCTCCATATGTATGTATATTACTGTGAAGTATTAGGGCAAAAGTTGGCATTTGGGACTCATGTTGGAACTGGAGAAGGCATTTTGAGTCAGCTCATCCTGGTCGACGTCAGACCCTTACATCCCAATTGCCTGTAGTCAAGATGTAACCTAGTGGATCAATGGTCTGTATGCAATGCGTTCACTTCAAGGGCAGATATAAGCCTTTGAGCTGTTTTTAAGAGCCTCTTTATAGACACTGGAGATAACAGGCTCTTTAGCGTATGATTCACCTGGACCAAGGTGGTTGTTGAAAATGGGTCAATGACTCCAGTGCTGGAATTGTCCATTTCAATGTTGTGATTATAAGAGGAGACTAGCTAAATAGCTTGCATGTGAGTATTTACACTTGGACAGCTATATCCTGCCATTTATGCATCTGACCCATGACTTCAGGCCAAGATATGTGTGAATCCAAACCCAGTTCAAGGGTTTAGGTCATGTGCACAAATTATTTGGATGCATGCCATACATTCTATTTCAGTGCTTGGAGCTTGCAAAGGCAAAGTGCTTTAGAACTTGGGGCTGGAGATCGTTTTCTTATGATCGTGTGACTTGTTAGTGCCCTGTATTTACATTTTAGGTAGTTACAGAAAATGTGAACACTTCATTTTGATTTCAGTCTTTCCCTGGTTGGGTTGGGGTTTTTTTACTTGCTTTTTTTTGGGATGGGAGGGAGTAGCTTTTTTTTTAGAGACACCTTACTTAGTTCTGAGTCGTAGTATCTTTGTACTCTAGTTCAAACATTTTCCCACAGAAGTAGTACTAACAGTGCCAATTGTTTGTTGTGGTGAAAAACAACATGTGTTGGGAACGAGCCAGAAATATTGCCATTCATTTTAGGTGCATGTTAACTTGTGGACTTTTCAGAATGAAGACATTAGTAGATGAAGTCTTAGTTCTAAGGAACTAAGGAAACTAACCAATTTCCTGGGCTTTATTCAGCATCTTTGTGTAGGCAAGAAGAGTTTGTGCCTGTGAAATAGCAAGATCTCTCTCTTTCCATTGTGTTCCATCTTCTTCAACAGTCAGGTTCTGCCCTGTCTGGCAGAGAAAGCGGTAGACATATAGCAGCTAATGGATTGTTGTGGGGTGGTTTCTTTGTCTGTGTGGTGGAGCCTAGTGTAACTTTCCTGGGAAGACTGCAGGTTCTTTATCTGCTGGATTAGTGAGGCATACAGTGACAAACTCAAGACTTCTCACTGTCAGGAGAGCTGGTGAATTCCAAAGCGCAGAAGCCTTTTAGCCTTTTGATGACACTTTGGTGCTCCCTGAGGTACAAATTTAGTCCAGAACTTTTACTCTCAGTATTGTATGCATCTGTGGATATGAAAGCTTTAATTTAGTTTAAAAGCCCCAAAGAGTTGGGGTTTTTTTTAACATCCTGTAACTTAAAGTGGTTGTTGCAATACTGAAACAGACTTTAAGAGATAGCTCTCCTTTAATGGTTTCCCGTGAATTGTTTCTGCCCTCCAAACTGATGAATGGACAGCCTTTACAAGACAAGATGTAGACTTATTGGTGGGCTACTGATCCATGCTTTCTGGGAAGGATCTGTGACTGCTTTTCTTTCGTAATCTGTTTTTGAGGGGGGTGGAAGGAAACCCTAGGGTAGTTATTTGGAAAAAGCCAGGCATTTTGGTTCAGATGCTTTGTCTACTGCTCTCACTTTGGAGATGGACACAGACTGGAATATGGGCTTCTGTGCTGTTTCTTTGCTATGTTAAATGGACAGATAGAATAGGAGACAAAACCTCCTCATTCAGAGACTATTCATAGGATGCCAGGAAAATGTGGCTGGATAAGTACACTGAAGGGCTTGTGAGAATCACAGGAGAACTGAAACACTTCAGAGTCATATTATCTTGTAATCAAGAGAGAATGGGAAATAAGGGAATAGGAAGTTACATTTATGGCCAGAATCTTTCATGCTGCAACTCCAGAAACTGAAATGAACAGAAATGAACTGAGAAATCCACCTGTTATTAGTGAGGCTACTATTTATTGCAATAGCCAGCTCAAGAAGGGGTATCCTTAAACTACAAAATGTGGAAAGCAGATACTTCCAAAAGTGACCTTTTCACTGGATTCAAAGGAAAATTGAAACGTATTATTTTCTTTTAGGCAAGATCAGATGGGTTTCCCAATGGAAGTGAGCAGTTTGCCGAGAAAAGTTGTCCACCTGGAATTCTAGAATATCTTGCTGCAGAGAAACAGAAAGAGCTGTCAGTTTTGCTGCTGGAACTGAAAGAAGCCCAAGAAGAAATAACTTTTCTGAAAAGGCAGCTCAAGGGCCAAAACAGCAAAACTTCTACAGATAACCAAACAGGCAAAGCAGCTAACTGGCTGGAAGATAATTCCCAGATACGGTTTCTTGAGAGGGAAGAGCTAAAGACTTCAGATACACAAAGCGAGTTGGGCAGTAGCTCATTACTGAGAGAAATAGAAATGCAGCAAGTTGATGTGCTTCAGGAAAACAGAATCAGTCTTCAAGAAGTGTCCCAGGGGAGCACTGTCCCCTGCAGGGGGGAGATGGAGGCGATGCAAGAATTCTCTACAGCAGATTCAGAGCCTGGCACCTCTCAATCTCAAGAACTGGTAAAGTTGCAAAACGAAAATACAGAACTGCAGATAATTCTGCAGAAATCAGAAGAATCCTATAAGAAAGATCTAAGAGAAAAAGATGCAGAAATAAATAGGCTAAACCAGCTGGCTGAGGAATACAGAAAAAAAATAGAGGATTCTGACAGTGCATTTTGTGTTTTGACTGAAGAACGAGATCAGCTCCTGTGTCAGATGAAAGAACTTTCTAGCAGGACAGAACTGAAAGAGCAAGTGAAACAACTTGAGGAGAATCTAGCTCTTTCAGAAAAGCAGAGACTGTCAGACAGTCAGAGCAGTCTTCTGAGAGAACAAATCCAGAGCCTTAAAAATGAATTTAAATCCAAGGAGATAAAAATTGAAGCTTTGCAAAAAGACTTGGATGAAGCGCAACTTCAGCATTCTGACCAGGACATGCAACTAAAAGATCTGAGAAGCCAGATCGAGAAGAAGGAATGTGAAATACTTGATCTAGAACAACTTTTGAGGAAGAATACAGCTGAGATAGAAGAACTTTCCCAAAACTTAGCCTCAAAGGGACACGAAGCAGCAAGCCTAGAACAGCTTGTTGCTGAACACGCCAGGACTATAGAGAGCCTGCAAGTCTATTATCAAAAGCCCAGGAAGAAAGAGACCAAAACATAGACGGTAAAGATACAAATTGGAAATGTGGGGCATCTGAGCAGCAGTATGAGACAGAGGCAGCACATAAAGAAGGTGAGGTATTAGTAAATAAACTTGAACTTCTGAAAAAAGAAAATGAGCAAGTGAAGAGGAAGCTGCAAGCAGTGCTTGTTAACAGGAAGGAGCTTCTGAAGAAGGTTAGCAAATTGGAGAATGAATTAGTACAATTGAGAAGAGAACACGAATCAGAAACCTCAGTGGCTCAGGAAGCTGAAGGGGAAGAAAATACGAGAAGCATGGTAAGCAGAGAAGTGAATCTTGAAAGCCAGCCCAGTGAGGATTATCTAATTCAGCTGCTTTCTGAAAAGGAATCTGAGTTGCAGAGCATCCGGAAGGACCTGCTGGATAAAGAAACTACTGAAGCACAGTTGCAGGCAGTGATTGAGGAAATGAGGCAAAGCTTGCAAGGTAAGACAAACATTGCTTCAATTAAGGATGAAATCATGGAGGGTCAGACAATTGCTGGCAAAGTAACTGAAACCAGTAAAAGCCCAAAAGATTATGGAGAAAATGAAAAAAATTGTTCAGCGGCTACAAATCTTGAAGAAAACCAAACGTCTGCTCTGAAAGAGAGGATTTCAACTCTTGAACAAGAAAAAGAACAACTTCAAAAAAAACTTCAGGAAGCCCTGGTATCTCGCAAAGACACGATAAAAAAGGCTCAAGAAAAAGACAGGCATCACAGAGAACAGCTGAAACAGCAGAAGGATGATTACAACATCTTACAAGAACAATTTGATAAGCAAAGCAAAGAGAAGGAGAGCATCCAAGCTCAGCTCAGACAACTCCAAGAACAGAAAGAATCAACAGAGAGTGTTCTTGGGAATCAAGGTGGGTTGGATTCTTCATGCATGGAAGCAGAAAATACAACAAATAACGAGGTTGTACAAGTTGCAGATATTTCTGGGGAAGAGTTTAAGAAAAAACTTGAAAAATTGCAGATGGAGAAAGAGGAATTGGAATATAATGTTAGCCATATGCAAAGTGAACTTGCTTGCAAATCAGAATTAGCCTTTCATTTGCAAGAGCACATAGCACAGTTGTTTCTGGAGATAGAAGGGCTGAAGAGAACCTCTGACCAAGCTGAAGCTAAGGCAGCCAGTCTTCAGACAGAATTGGAGGAGCGTCAAGCAGAAATTTCTGGAGAAGGCAGTCTGAAAGACCTGAAAACACTTGTACAGCAAAAGGATGAAGAAGTTGAATTTCTTAACTTTCAGTTAAGGGAGAAAAGCGAAGCTCTCAATAATGTGCAGGCACAGTTGCTGGAAAAAGAGGATTCAGTCAAGAGGTTATATAGTCAGTTGGAAACTCAAGCTCAGGTGCATGAGGAACAAAGCAAGCGGCTGCATACAGAGTTGCTTGAAATTCGGGAGAAGCAAGATGATAGTGCAGAAACAGCTAAGCAGAAGAATCAAATGCAGAGAAAGTTGCAAGCTGCACTTATCTCTAGAAAAGAGGCACTAAAGGAGAGCAAGTCTCTAAAAGAGGAGCTGGCTAATGCTAAAGCTACTATTGAAAATCTTGGTGTCAAGTTGACAAATATGGAAAGCCAAATATGTGGCCATGGTAGAGAAACAGATACTTTAAAAGAAAAGTTGTCAGGGCTTACTGAAGAGCGAGAAAAACTTATTGCAGAAGTTGGTAAAGTACTTAAAGAAAATCAGAATCTTGATGGATGCTGTAAAAACCTGACATTTACTCTAGACAGAGTTGTTCTAGAGAAGGAGAAGCTGGAGAAGGAGATGGAATCCTTGAAAGGCTTTCAAGCTGCTGAGAGTTCTGAGTGGCATGATAAATACAGGGAGCTTCAGAAAGAATATGAAGTTCTCCTGCAGTCATATGAGAATGTGAGTAATGAGGCTGAGCGGATTCAGCGTGTTTTGGAAACCGTTAGGCAGGAAAAGCAGGAAATTTTGATTAAGCTGAGAAATACTGAAGCAAAAAAAGGGGAAACGGATAAGCAGCTACAGGAAGCTGGACAAGAAATTGATAGAATGAAGGAGAAAATGAGGAAATTTGCAAAATCAAAGCAACAAAAGATCCTGGAACTAGAGGAGGAGAATGAAAAGCTTAGAGCAGAGATGCGTTTTACAGATGCAGAGCTACGCAGAACTGGAGATGTCTTTACAAATACTAGCCTGAAAGAAGATCTGGAGAGCTCTGGGAGGGATTACCATCCTCTTTCTACTCAGCTTGAGACAGTAATTGTTGAAAAGGAGTCCCTCAATCAAGAGATCACAGACCTAACATGTCATTTGCAGTTAACAGAATCTAAGCTGAAGGAAAGCAAAGAACTGGTAGACGAGTATGTTGCTCAGAAGACAACAGAGGAAGAAACAAATCGGACAGTTGCCACACCACCACCAATGGAGAGGACTGAAAATCAGGTGGACGGAAGTTTTAAACCAGAGTCTGCTACTGCAGAGCTGAAACAAAAAGCATGTGAAGATAGTAGCCCTTGTGAAGATCTTGGTACCTACATACAGCAGATAGCTGAGCTCATGAAGCGAATCACAGAACTAGAAGATAATAGGAGGGCTTCAGAGCAACAGCTGGGTAACATCCACGTGTATGTTGAGACTCTAGCAGGTGAGAAAAGGGCTTTAGAGACCCAAATGGAAGAGAAAGTCCGTGAATTGAGTGCTCTTCAGGACACAGTAGCAAAGATGGAACAAACAGTTCAAAAAACCAAAACCGACCTTGTCAGGATGACAGAGCTGAAGGACACGCTATTGGCTGAGAAGGATGATTTGGAAGAAAGGCTCATGAATCAGCTGGCAGAACTTAATGGGAGTATTGGAAACTATCAGCAAGATGCAACAGACTTCCAGATCAAAAATGAGCAACTGAAACATGAGCTTCAGAGTTTGCAGAGAATGGTGCGTGAACTGGAGGAGGAGAAATGTCAGATGGCAAAGGAGAAAAGTAAAGCAAGTTCAGAAGAGCAAAATGAATTTGTAGAAAAGCTAAAATGCAGTTGGAGGAGAGACAGCAGCACACATGTAAAGGAGCTTCAGGAACTCCTGAAACAGAAACAGCAGGAGATTAAGCAGCTGCAGAAGGGCTGTATTAAAAGCCAGGAAAAGAACAGTAGTTTAGAAAGAACTGTTAAGGCTCTGGAATTTGTGCAGAGTGAGTCTCGGAAAGAGGTAGAAGCAGTCAAAGAGACTTTAGCTAAAGCTGTTGAAGACACCAAGAAAGCCCAAGCAGAGCTTGCTCTCTGCAGAGTAGTATTGGATGACACCCAGAGTGAGGCAGCCAGGGTTCTAGCAGAGAGTGTCAAAGTGAAAAATGAGTTGCAGGCAAACAAAGAGAATATTAAAATTCAAATGAAGAGAAAAGATGAGGACTTTGAGAGAAGACTGGAACAGGAAAAAGACAAGCACTCAAAGGAAATTAGAAATATGGAAGAAAAGCTGGCAACTTTGCAGAGGGAGAAAGACTATATGGAAAAAACTGTTGGTGATCTTCAAGGTTCCTTGAAGACAAAGGATCAAGAAGCCAAGCAATTGGAAAGCAGCCTAAACAAAACACTAGCTCAACTTGCAGCCTTCACCAGGAGCATGTCTTCCCTTCAGGATGACAGGGATAGAGTGATAGATGAATCAAAAACATGGGAGAAGAAATTCACTGAAATGATTCAAAAGAAGGAGGCAGAAATACGTTCAAAAGAGGAAACTTGTGTTGTGATAAAGGACCAGGTGAAGCAGATGACCATACGTGTGGAGGAACTTCAGACTCACATATCCAGGTAAAGAAGGTGATAATGATTCAGCTGGTATTCTTGTATTTCCATTTGACAAGGCAGCAGCCGGAGGTGAGATAGGATTCCCCTCTCCTTTTGCAGTATACCAGAAAGAAAGAATTGTGAGTATTTAAATAGCTAAATATGATGTTAGTCTGCATAATAAAGCCATAAACAGAAGGCTTATTTTCTGGATCACTTATGTTTGGATAGAAAAGAGGTTTGGAGTTATGTTGTAGGGAATTACTATGTATTTGTTGTCTGCGCAAGGACACAGGGAGATTAACACTGTAAAATATTCCTTCTTTTCATCATTAGGGTACCTGTGTTAAATCTGTTCTCTGTGACAAGCAGTAGCCATCTGAGTACTGTCTAGTCTTTATTAATCTGAACTTCCAAACAGATTCTTTTCCATAGAGTTGTTTCATTCAGGGATTAAACTTGGCAGGTCAACAGAGCATTGGGCTACATAATTCCAGTTTAATCCCAAAATAGATTTTGAGGGTAAAATGGCACTATGGAAACGTACGAAAATGTGCATCTGGGAATTGCCAAAATTCAAAACCAAACTGTTCTTACATGAGTAAAATTGTTCTATAAAATTTGTGATCAAAATGCTATATCTTTGCGTGCTGGAACATGAAACGAACATCAAGCATGTGAAAACAGCAATTTCATTGATGTGGTTTTTTATTAGCTACAATGGATGAAAGAAAGAAGTATTTTAATAACAAGGAGGTAATAACATTAAATGTTTAACCTCCTCCATTTTTTTTTCCATATTGACATAACTATTTATCTCACTGGACAACTTTTAAAATAAAATATTCCCCCAGAACCACCCCCTTCAGACAGTAGTGCAGGCACAACTATAAAAAGATGCCTTGAATTTTACATTGAGAGAAAACTAATCATCTGGATATTTCCAGTTTGCTTTCTTGAAGTAAAACTAATTTTGTGGCTTTTCTGAATTGGTATAATCAATGAAAACTGTTACTGTGGTTTTAGATAGTGAGATGCTTCACTGATTTGTGACTCTGTTTTCAGGCTGGAACGCAACAAGAAAGACTGGGAGTCTGAATCCAGGAAGGAGATTCAGCATCATCAAAAGACATGTGAAATGTTGCAGGAGGAAAAAAAGGAGCTTTTGACTCAACTTGAAGAGTCTCAGAAACTGTACAGCAAGTCTCAGAATGACCAGCAGAAACTGGAGTTAGAAATCAGCAGCCTGAGAGACCAGCTTGCTGACTTACGGAATTCCTTCACCAAATGTGAATTGGTCAGAGAAGAGCTGGGGAGTATGGTCAAGCAACAAGAGACCAGTATCCAGAATTTTAAATTCAGCTGTGAACAGCTTCAGGCCGATCTGCAAGCTTCTAAGGACCTAACAAATAAGCTGCATGAAGAAACTAGTGCCAAGGATCAAAAGATCATTAGTTTGCTTTCTGCCAAGGAAGAAGCAGTTATGGCTGCTCTATCTGAAATACAGCAGCAACATTCTGAAAAGATGAAAGAGTTGGAACATAGGCTAAGTAAGGAGGAAGAAGATAAGAAAGCCTTGGAAAAAGAGAAGAACAAATTTCTTGACAAACTTGATCATCTCACGGAAAAGATGAAGATAAGCAGAGAAGAAAGTAAGCAGCAGAAGGCACAATTGGATTCCTTCACTAAGTCCATGTTATCTTTGCAAGATGACAGAGACCGCATACTGAGAGACTACAGGCAACTTGAGGAACGTCATCTTGTTATAATCTTGGAAAAAGACCAGCTAATTCAAGAGGCTGCTGCTGAAAACAATAAGCTTAAGGACGAAATCAGAAGTTTTCATAGCCGGATGGATGACCTCAACTCTGAGAATGCCAAGCTCAATGCTGAATTGGTGCGGTATAGAGAAGACCTGAACCAAGTGATTTCAATAAAGGACTCCCAACAGAAACACCTTCTCAAAACACAGCTTCAGCGCATCCAAACTCTGGAAAAGGAGAAGACAATCATAGAAACACAGCTGAAAGAGTCTGAGTATACTCAGGATGATCTCAGGAAGTCCATGGAAGCCTTGAGAGAGGATAAAGTTAGTATGTCTCAAGAGATTCAAACCCTTACGTCCTCTCTGTCTCGGGTGCAGAGTGAGATGACAGCATTACATGAGGGGGGTCCTATCGCAGAGTATCAAGCACAACTGAAGGCCCGAGAGGAAGAGGCACAAGAACTGAGTCATAAACTTTCCCTTTCACAAAAAAGGATAACAGAACTTGAGGGGGAACTAGTATCTGTTCAAAGGGATGCAGCCAAGAGAATGGGAGAGGCTGAGGACAGGCTTCGAAAGGAGTTGAAGCACCTACATCATGATGCAGGGATAATGAGGAATGAAACAGAAACAGCAGAAGAGAGAGTAGCAGAGTTGGCACGGGACTTGATGGAAATGGAACAGAAATTTCTTGCGGTCACATATGAAAACAAAGATCTCAGAGCTCAAATTCAGTCTTTTGGGAAGTCCATGAGCTCTCTTCAGGATAGCCGAGACCAGGCCAATGAAGAGCTTCATGTTTTGAAACAGAAATACTCTGCAGACTTAGAGGAACAAAAGAATCTAGTGCAGAATTTTCAGAAACAGATAGTTCAGCTACAAGAGGAGCAACATTCCACTGCCAGGGACCGAGATACAGTGAGGTATCAGCTGACAGAACTGCAGAAGGCCACTGATGAAAGAGGTCTCTTGGCCCAGATTGAGAAACTTAATCAGAAGCTCAGAGCCAAAGATGATGAGCTTCTCCATTTATCTTCGGAACTGGAAGGCTCTTCCAATCAAGTAAAATCTTTCTCCAAGGCTATGGCAAGCCTGCAGAATGAGCGAGATCATCTACTGAATGAATTGGGCAAAACACGTAAGATTGAAGAAGTAAAGCAACAAGCAGAAGGGAGCACTTCCACCACTCCTTCAGAAGTGCAGAGTCTTAAGAAGGCACTGTCCTCATTGCAGAATGACAGAGACAGAGTAGTAAGTCCTTGTTCTCTCTTCCTGCTCTAACTTAAAACCCCATAGGAGATTTGGACCTTCAGATCTCAAAATTCATCACACTTAGATCTGGTATTTGCAGTGTGAAACATAAATCATTGTCTTCGCAGAATCACAGAAGAGTTCAGGTTGGAAGGGCCTTCTGGAGACCTTCTAGTCCAACTCTCCTTCTCAAACAAGGTCAGCTGGAATAGGTTGCCCAAGACAGTGTCCAGTTGGATTTTGAATATGTCCATTGGTGGATATTCCACAACTTTTCTGGGCAATCTTTTTTTTTCATGTATCTGGTTTCCGGAATTAGTTGCTTCATCACCTTCCCAGGGGCGGAGATGAGACTGACTAGCCGGCACTTCCCCAGTTCCTCCTTCTTGCCTTTCTTGTAGGCAGGGATGACATTTGCTTTCTTCCAGTCTTCAAGAACATCTACCAGTCACCATGACCTTTCAAAGGGAATTGACTTGCCTCCCAGTGATCTTAGCACTTGTTGACATGCTCCATCAGATCCCATAGGTTTAAGTATATGCCATCTATGTTATCTTCTCTGACATATGGAAGCTGTGATTTCGTTGTTAACTTTCCAGAGTGGTTTCTCTTGTTAGCTTGATTTAAAATGTGGAATCATAGAAATAAGATATGGGTTCCCTGCTAACCTGCTTAGTCCACATCTGTGGAAGCTCATGCATTTGGTTTGTCTTGGATTTCTAGAACAGACTAGACCAAAGACTCGGGTCTGTTTCTCCTCCTGGCAGCTGATTGTCAAGACAGGTACAGGGCACTACAGCTTCATTTTGATGTCCTTGCTTGGATACTTATTCTGTCTGTGTTTGTATAGTCTCTGGCACAGTGTGGCTCAGCAAGTTTTGGAGTTCTAGTTGCTGGTCTGATGACAGACTTTTACAATCATTTTCCACTGTCACTTAGTCTGTCATAGTTTTCCCTTCTGTTAATTCACAAAAGACTTTGTGATACTGTCTTAAACACAACTTCCTTCTTGTCCGTTTTATGTCTCAGTTGTTTGTAGACTTATGTCTCCAGCTCTGGAATCCTCAGCACAGGAAAGACATGGACCTGTTGGACCAGGTCCAGAGGAGGGCCACAAAAATGATCAGAGGGCTCAAACACTTTCCCTGTGAGGAAAGGTGAGAGAGCTGGGGCTGTTAAGCCTGGAGAAGAGAAGGCTCCAGGGAGGCCTTACTGCAGCCTTTCAGTACCTGAAGGGGCCTGCAAGAGAGCTGGAGAGGGACTTTTTACAAGGGCATGGAGTGATAGGACGAGGGGTACTGGTGTTGTCCAAACAACCTGGGTCTGTTTACCTGGTGTGCAGTACACCAGTATACACACAGAGCAGAGGTATTTTACTGCATATTTGTGCAAATATGGGTATCTGTCCCAAGACAGCACACCTTGTTCACAAATCAACGGTTATTTATACACTTAGCAATACCATACTAATCTTCCTAATACATATGCACTGTTATTCTATTAAGTGATTGGTTAAAGTCTCTTCACCCAGCATGTAAGTTAGTACGCATGCACAGTTTCTTCATCTTTTGAGTCTGGGGTATAATTGGGGTGGGTGTCCATGAGTTGGTGGTTGTGATCTCCCTCTGCTGGAATTAGCTTTCCGCTAGTTGCCTGTTCCTTTTAGCAATCTCAACAGCTTTTCCTAGCTTGTTAGCTATTGTCATGATTCATCACTCTGTGGTTCTACTTTGGCCAGGTACATCCTTCTAATGAAACAATAACACATTATTCAAAATCCTGTTTCTTAGTTTCTGTAGTTAATTTTAAACTTAAGGGTAGGGCTTTACAAAAATACCTGCAACAGCAATAGTCTGGTTAACTTTAATTATTTCACATTTTGATTCCCCTTTTTATTCCTTAGTATAACAATGTTTTTAAACTGAAAGATGGTAGGTTTAGATTAGATCTAACGAAGAAATTCTGTACTGTGAGGGTGGTGAGGTACTGAAACAGGTTGCACAGACAAGTTGTGGATGCCCCCTCCCTGGAAGTGTTCAAGGCCGGGTTGGATGGGGCTTTGAGCAACCTGGTCTAGGTGACGTGTAAGGTCCCTTCCAACCCAAACCATTCTATGATTCTGTGATACTGCTGATTTGCTGAACTTACATATCTGTGTAGCACTGCTAATACTGAGATAGATCCTCAGTAGAGGGATCTCGTGACTCATTAAGTACTTCCCTGTCTCCAGAGTCAGTCACGTCTTCTTGTCTTCGACAACTGATTGCAGTAATGGATGTGTAATGAGAACTTATTTCTAATTCCCATCTGAGTAGACTGTCAAAAGGATTTTAGTTCCTCAGTTCCCTGGTTTACAGTAAATGCCATCTTCAGGAGTTATTCTTAACCAGCTCCTTCTGTCTCACTTTGTCTTATTCCTAATAAGGGAATTAATATTGTAGTCTGGGGTCTTTTTGTTAATGTATGTCAAATCTTCATGGAAGGTCTCGATACTCACTACTCATTAACAGTAGAGTTCTCTGAGGGTTTTTTTTCTGAGCAGTTTTTAGTAGACTGCTGTAATCACTGAGTCAATTTCTGGTTTCTCTGTCATCTGAATGTGACTTTTTTTCTCCAGATGCCACAGTGAGAAATGCTCTTAAACACTCATGAGTAATAAACCTAGCTGCTTGCTCAGTTGTCACATACTCTGGTATTTCTCTTTAATTAAAGGTGAGAGAGCTGAAGAATCTGCAGCAGCAATACATACTAGTTGGGGTAGAATCAGCTGAAAATTCTCGCTTAAAAGCACAACTGCAGGAATATCAGCAAGACGCAGATAAACAGCACCATCTCCAAGAACAGCTGAAGCAAGAAAGTATTTTCTACCAGCAGGAGCTCCAGCAGCTTAGGTGAGAATTGTCTATCTTCTCACTGCCTCAGAAATGCAAATGTGTCATTTCTGTCGTTCAAAGAGCAATTGTGGGCGGAAGGCAAAGAAAGCATTGAGAACCTCAGCCTTACCTTTGTTAGCTGTCACTAAATCACTTTGCCCTGTTCAGGAGTGGGCACACGTTTCCCTTGTTCAACTGTTCCCTCAGTGTGAAGAATTACAGCCCAACATACTGGAAGGAAATGCCGAAATGCCTGTGTGAAATAGATCAATAGCCTTTTAATTTTCATTTCCTTCATCCAGTTGGTGGACAGTATCAGCTGTTTGAGAGGAATCTCAGGCTGTTTCTTGTATTGGAACTTATGTATATAATTACAGGACTCTCCATTCCAAAATGGTGATGAACACCCTTTATTACCTTAATATCAGTGCTATCATTGTTTAGCTTATATGACTGTGTAATCCTTGGTTTCACTTGCTTGATGTCTTCTATTTTTAAAAAAGTTTGTAATTGAAGTCTAGTAAATTGTCATCTCCAACTGGACTAAAATTAGTCAGACAAATATGCTCTGTACTGAAAATGTAGAAAAAATCCTTTCAGGTACTTCAGAGATCCATCTAAGATTGACTGAACCTGAAGTGAAAGGTGTGGGGTTTTTCTGTGGAAAGATGTATGTCTTATCTTTGTCCAAAGTGATATAAAAACTTGTAGTGCCCCTTCCCCCTCCTCCTGCCCCCAATCTGACCCTCAAACTAACACTTCAGATCTTATAAAGTTTGAAGTAGCTTACAAATTTTAATATCCTGGTAAAGAAAAAGAGATTTATTTCCTGTCTAGCTTCTACAATGTAAATGAAGCTAAGACCTCAAGTTTGCATATTTGGATCATTGCTGTGGTTCTGGTGCGTATTTGACTGAGGCAGTGATAATGTTATGATGACAAGTGACATTATGAATGACTTGCTTGACAAAACTCTTTGTACAGCAAAATCAAAACAAAGTCCAGGAATACAAAAGTGTGAGCATTGAACAATCTGCAGTGTTGAGCCAAATACACAATACTTCCTTAAACTTGCTTTTAAGGTTCCTGTACTTAAATGGGTTGTTTTGGTTTGATTATAAAGCTTCTTTTCTGGCATGGGGTAATGATAGGAAATAGAATCATCCTCAGCTCATTCTGAGCTGGATACCTGGATATCATAAGTGATACTGGAAATGTTTCCCAAAATGAGGATTCTTCACCCAGTGTGCAAAGAGCCGATCAACTCTTCAAGGCTGCCATACTAGTCCTTATCAGTTCCTTGAGTTCTTTTGCTATCCTCCTCTTAGTCGTTTGTCATCAGTAACTTCCTGGTAATTTCCTTTGTGTTGTACTGGGCAGACAAGAGAAAACTACCTGGGAAAAGCAGAACAGCAGCATAAAGGAGCAGTACCTGATGGCCATAGCAGAAAAAGACAAGCAGCTGAGCCATTTACAAAGGATCACACAAGAAATGAGACTGCCCCTCAGCAAGTCTCAAATTGTAGAGGAGCAGTACCAAACGAAGGTGGGTGGAAATACACAGATTCCTTATTGCATGGAAATGTGAGGCTTGAAATTCAGCCAAATGAGAACGTGTGGCTTGCCGAGTTTCAGCATCCATGCAGGGACAGGAATGACTCTCACACATTGATACAATGCCCAGCCGATTCCCCATTTGTTGGTCTGCTTGCATGGTTATATACATTTTTCATATCTGCACACGCGATCACGCTTATTCGGATAGGCTACAGACATAAATCACGCGCTGTTCACGCACCCCATATTCCCTTATGATTGGTAACTATGCACTAACGCTAATAGCAACAGACCGCCTCCATGTCCTTGAACACGTCTTGTTTTTGCTAACCCACATCATATACATTATCAGAACTTTCTCAATTGCTATTCTTAGCTGCTCTTTCCAGCGGCCTGTTCAGTTATGCTAACTGTTTTGCTTAAGCGGCCTAGTCATGCTAACTCTCAGACTACATCGACCCCAACAGTAGCTTGTATTCAGCTCGTACAGACTGCAGTATCAGATTTTGTTGTGTGGCCTCCAAGGACTATACCAACAATGCAGCTTGGATCATTGGAAACCTTTAGAAAACTCTGCTATACCCTTATGTGTTCTTCCCTTAGTTCATGATTCCTAGTGTTTCAAGAAAGAGAGTAAAAGAGACAGGGCTTCCTAGGCAGCTTAGGTCCTTCTAAGCAGTATGGAACTTCTCAGGTCAGTCTTTCTGGCTGTTTTAGAATTGCCTCTTGTTCTGTGTTTGAATCTAAGATCTTCTGGTTTAGTTCTTCTTTTTATGTCCCATTCTAATTGTTAAGTTTCCTATTGCATTTTTATTGCTGTTTTTACTGTAACAGGGAGCTACAGTCCTGGCTCAAGCCCAGAGAGGCTGAGGATTGACTATTGCTCTTTCTGCCTTCTTTCCCCTGTATCAGTGGAATGAAATATTTTTAATATTTTGCTTGGTCTAGAGAAGGATGCTTGCCTGCTGCATGTACAATACCATTGCATTATGAGCAAGTGTCCTGGGTTCGGCTGGGATAGGGTTAATTTTTTCACAAGAAGCCAGGAGGGAACACAGCTCAGACCACTGACCCAAACTGGCCAAGCAAATGGGGTATTCAATGCTTGGTTTGAGTGAGGGAGCTGGTTGGGGGGAGATTAATCTTTGCTCAGGAGCATGCTGGGCATCATCTGGCAGTGAGAATTGCCCTGTGTATTCCCTTGTTCTGTATATTCTTTTTATCACCATTATTGTTGTTACTGTTGTCTTCCTTTGCTGTTGTTAAACTGTCCTTACCCTGACCCATGAGTTTTACCTTTTTCTTCCGATTCTCCTCCCCACCCCACCAGGGGGAAAGGCGATAGAGCAGCTGCGTGGCTCTTTGTTGCCAGCTGGGGCTAAACCATGACAGCAAGGAGAGAACTCTGCTGCCCACAGCTGTAATGTTCTAATGAGACGCCTTTATGTCAGTGGAGGAGGGAGGAAATCTCCGCTTGTTCCTTTGGTGCACACACACACACATATATGTGCGAAGAAAAACTAGAACAATGTGCATGTGATGCTTTCCAGGAGAATGCTTCAGTGCTAACCTTTTAGTCTGTGTTGAATGAGAATAGTGTGGACATTGCTTTAGTGTTTTGTTTGTTTTTCTTGTTCTCATTCATATGCTTTTTTTTCTTCCTGTATTGTAGACAGCTTTTGAGAAGGACCCATTATATGTGCAAGTTCAGTGATCATTCCTAGTTGTTTGGATTTTCAGATGGCTTTTGTGATATTTCTGTCTGTTCCCCATTCACTGTTTTGCTTGAGCAGATCAAGTTCCAGGCCTAGGAATAATGTTGGGCTTTGACCCTGGAATACTAAACAGATAGGACTAATATGATAGTGGGTTGTCATGTGTGCAGTATATTTTCCAATGTTTTTTCTCTGACAGATTTCTTCAGAAGTTCTGAGAGGTGACTTTTCAAGCCTAGAGACAGAGACAAAATGTCTCCAGGCCCAGCTGAGTGACAGCCTGAAAGAACTGCACCAGAAGGAGCTCAGAATTCAGCAGTTAAACAGCAAGGTACCGATTATATCTTAAACTTGCTTGCAGAGTCTGGGATGAGGAATGTTGGGAAGAGGAGGGTAGGCTTGAACAGGGCTCAGGGAGCAGGAAT